TTGAATTAGCTAAGGCTAAATACATACGAGGCAAAGAAAGTATAAGCGTTTTGCAGGTTCCTGTTGACAATGAGAGAGTAGTCACACTATTTGAATTGGAGACAAAGTTGACTGAGGAAACTGGCAAAATAGTTCCAAATTTTGACATAAGCTTAAAGAGATTGGATAAAAGTGAAGACGAGATTCAAGATCCTATAAAATGGTTTGGAGTATTGGTCCCACAGAGTTTGCGAATTGCACAAAAACGTTTTCAAGAATCTCTTTATCTTATTGTGAGAGCAGCAAATATACAAGCAGAAATTGCTTCTGTAGTAGATAAATTACAATCTTTATATTTTTTAAAACATACTTCTTGTTCAACAAATAACACTAAAATATAAAAATTCCATAAGTTTTGTCATTTTGTCTTGTTATATTATCTTATTAGCTATTTTTTTTACAAAAAAATTGTTATGTTTGTAATTGTAAATATTTCTTTGTATGAGTAAAATTTATATTAAAACAATTGTAATTAATAAAAAACATGTGGTAAAGTCTGCTACCCAATACGATTTAAAAATTTCATTTATTACCTACACAGAACTTTTACTATTGGTTCATCATAGTTATTTGTGAAGAATTGTTGGCATGACAAAACAGTATCCCTAAAGGAGATTCCCGCCAACTCCTACCTTTTGGTTTGAGTCTTGGAACCAAAAAAGTGATACTTCAAATCTACGTTACATTTTTATTCAAAAATTTATTTAGCTGTTATCCCGATTCTTTTAATACAAGCGTAATGGTAAGATATTAGGAATAAAAAGCCTGTAAAAATAATTAAATTCTTTTCTAATATATTTTTTTCATTGTATCCTATTACTTTTGGTATCATTTTCCTAAATCTTCGAATTCATTTATTTTTTATTCTGTTTTATATATTTTTTAGGATTCTAGTAGCCCAGCACGCTCTGATAGACATACAGAGGCAATGACATCTCCTGCACCAGAAATAGATGAACCATTTGAAGATGAAGCAGATTTACTTGGTAATGACAATGATGTTAATCAGGAAGAAGAAGAAGAAGAAGGAGAAGAATTATTTGGAGATAATATGGAAGCGTAAGGTTTTTTTCATTTTTTCATATACTAGACAAGATATATGTGACATTGGATTTTGGACGATATATTTTTATTTCAGTGATTATCGTCCAATGCCAGCATTAGATAGATATGATCCAGATGTAGTGGATGATGAAGAGTACTCAGAAATGTCTCAAGGAGAACGTGCAGTTGCTGAAGCCATTATGCTTAAAAGAGACAGAGCTGCAGGAATTATCAGAGATGATAGATATTTACTTTATGGTATATTTTAGTGTTGTAATAATATAATTAATATATACTTTGCAAATGTATCATACAACATAGATTTTAAATATTCAAGATGAGAGTGATGAAGAAGAAACACATGCCCGTAAAAGGCGTATGGCTGAAAAAGCAGCAGTAGGTGATATAGAAGACACAGAGGTGAGTATTTTGTTTGCTTTTTGTTCTATTGCACAATTTATTTTATTATGTTATATAACTATGTTTATTTTCATTCTAGATGATTGAATCTATTGAGAATTTGGAAGATACAAAAGGTCATTCAGTTAAAGAGTGGGTGTCTATGTTAGGACCAAAAACTGAAATCTCCAATCGTTTTAAAAGCTTTCTTCGTACACATACTAATTCAAAAGGACAATATATGTACAAAGAACGAATTCGTCACATGTGCGAGAGTAATCAAGTAATATTTTTGTGTTATTAATTGTAATAATGCTCATATAAGACATAAAAGATATTTACATTATTTTTTAATAGTCTAGCTTTGTTGTGGAGTTTCCTATCCTTGCTAGTAAAGAACATGTTTTGGCTTATTTTTTGCCAGAAGCTCCATTTCAAATGTTAGAAATATTTGATGAAGTTGCAAAGGAACTAGTACTAAATATATTTCCCAGCTATGAAAGAGTTACTGGTGAAATTCATGTCAGAATATCAGAACTGCCATTAATAGAAGAAATTCGTACATTTAGGTAAAACGTAATTATATATCAACAAAAATGTTTTGCTCTTCAAAAATATAACATAATATTTATGGTGAAAATTAGGAAATTACATTTGAACCAATTAGTACGTACTCTAGGAGTTGTTACTGCAACCACAGGAGTACTACCACAATTGTCTGTTGTAAAATATGACTGTACAAAGTGTGGATATGTACTTGGTCCTTTTGTACAGCATCAAAACACTGAAGTTAAGCCTGGCTCGTGCCCTGAATGTCAAAGCATTGGACCTTTTATGGTAAGTTCAAATATTAAATATAATCTTATTTATATATAAACAATATATTCATTCTATAAATATAGTAATACTAATTACAGATTAACATGGAACAAACAATATACAGAAACTATCAAAAAATTACAATTCAAGAATCGCCAGGCAAAATTCCTGCAGGGAGAATACCCAGAAGCAAAGAATGTATTCTTCTATCAGATCTCTGCGATCGCTGTAAACCCGGAGACGAAGTAGACGTTACCGCTATTTATACGAATAATTATGATGGTTCCTTGAACACAGAACAGGTAAAAGATATTTGCGTATGATTATTTAAAAATTTCATATTAATTAATTACTATCAATTTTGTATTTAAGGGTTTTCCTGTATTTGCAACGGTCCTTCTTGCTAATCATTTACAAGTAAAAGATTCAAAAGAAATTGTAGAATCCTTAACCGAAGAAGATATTTCTAGTATCATTAATTTAAGTAAAGATCATCGAATTTTGGATCGCATTGTCGCAAGTATTGCGCCTTCAATCTATGGTCACGAATATATAAAAAGAGCTTTAGCTTTAGCAATATTTGGAGGCGAATCAAAAAATCCTGGTATTTTCATTTCTAACATCATTTTGGATGTATTTGAAGAGTATTCAAGACTATTCAATAAAAGTCTTATATTTACACAGGTAACAAGCATAAAGTAAGAGGAGATATTAATGTGTTATTATGTGGAGATCCAGGAACAGCTAAATCTCAATTTTTGAAGTATGTTGAAAAAATTGCACCAAGATCAGTATTTGCAACAGGTCAAGGAGCTTCAGCTGTGGGATTGACTGCTTTTGTAAGAAGGTCGCCAACTACTCGAGAATGGACATTAGAAGCTGGTGCCTTAGTCCTTGCCGACAATGGAATCTGTCTTATTGATGAATTCGATAAGGTACATTTTATATGAAATGCTTGTGATAAAATATAATTATTATTGTATTTCTAGATGAATGATCAAGATAGAACATCTATTCACGAAGCTATGGAACAACAAAGTATTTCTATTTCAAAAGTGGGAATTGTTACATCACTTAATGCTAGATGTTCAGTAATAGCTGCATCTAATCCCATTGGAGGCAGATATGATGCTAGTATGACATTTTCAGAAAATGTAAGATATAATATAAGATGAGGAAGTACATCTTTATTTTATGTTATGTATTATATATCATAAGTTATATTTATATAATTTTTTATATAGGTGGATTTATCAGAACCGATTTTGTCTCGTTTTGATATTCTTTGTGTAGTAAAAGATGAAATAGATCCTATGCAAGACCGGCATTTGGCTAAATTTGTTGTGAATTCTCATATCAGACATCATCCGTCAAATACAGGAAAAGTAACATCAACACAAGAAAAGACAAATGACATATCTATTCCACAAGATCTTTTAAAAAAATACATAGTCTATGTGCGACAAAACATTCATCCTAAATTAACAAACATTGATCAAGATAAGGTAGCAAAATTATACAGCCAATTAAGACAAGAAAGTTTGGTAAGTTAAAAACATTCATAAATTTTTACAAAAATTTTCAAAGTATAATAATATAAACTTCATCCTAATAGGCCACTGGAAGTTTGCCAATTACCGTACGACATATAGAAAGTATTATACGTATGGCTGAAGCAAGTGCTAAAATGCATTTACGTGATCACGTTCAAGAAGGTGATATTAATCTCGCTATCAGAATGATGCTTGATAGTTTTGTTGATACACAGAAATATTCGGTAATGAAAAGTATGCGCCAGGTATGATCGTGAATATGATTATGAATACATATGTGTACATAATGATTTTATTGAAACTATAATAAATGTTCTATTATTTTCTAGACATTCCAGAAATATCTGTCATATAACAAAGATCACAGTGAACTTCTGTATTATATACTTAGGCAGCTTACATTAGATACTTTAGCGTTTCAAAAAGCGATACACGGAAATCGTATTACAACGATTGAAGTTTCAGAAAAAGACTTATTGGATCGGGTATGGATTATTTCATTTCTTCTCCTATAAATCCACAAACCTCGTACTAAAATCGTTATTTTATTTTAGGCTAGACAAATTGATATATGCAATCTTCATCCATTCTACGAAAGTGAAATTTTCAAATCAAATAATTTCCTTTATGATGCAAAGAGAAAAGTAATAATACAAACACTTCCTGAAGGAATTGATGACTAATGAAACACAAAAATTGTCAGAATAAAATCATAATTTTATTTACAACATGATAATATTTGTTATATAAACATAAACTTTTAGAGTGAATTATATTTTGATGTAATAGTTCAATAAAAAATTATTTTGTTTTAAATTTCTTAACATTTATATTTCGCGCTTTTGATTTTATAATAAATATTTCTTAATTTATAAAAAAGTCATTAGTACAAAATTATGATTTTTTACTTACAAATATCTGATGTAATTAGGAGGGTATTGGTATCATAATATAAATAATAAAATTCTATTACAAGCCACGATATATAAATTATTATTTAAAATATATGTTACATATAAGTACTTTAGATATCTCAATTTTTTACAATGAAATTATTGTACATTTATTATATTTGAATCACCAAGGAAAAAGAGAGTACTTCATAAATATTTAAAAAATGAATATATTTATCATAAGGTTTTTTTATTTTTTATCTAAAATTTTTTATTTAGAATGTCTTTTTGAAAATAGAAAATTGTTAGAATGATTGCTATTTTTACTACTGCTACTATTGCTGCTGCTACTACTACTGCTGCTGCTACCACTGCTACTGGAAACGCTATCACTAGAATCTGATTCACTGTCCGAAGATGAACTACTACTGCTGCTATCGTTACTACTACTGGAACTACTGCTATCAGCACTAGAATTTGTATTACTAGAACTATTAGGTTCTTCTTTCATTTTTTTTTGTAAACGACTTTTCTTCACTTCTTTTTTCTGCTCTTCACTGTAAATATGACATACGATCATCATTAGCATTACGATTTTTTATCTTGAAACTTAATAATTTAATCATGTTTTTACAAATTTACCCATTAGATTCTTGCTGCTTCTGTAAGGCTCTCTTCAACTGCGATGTACGTGAAGATCTATGTAAATATTTTCGTTTTCCCTTACATTCATAACTCCAATGTCCCATTTCCAGACATTTTTGGCATCGTACCTTTTGTGGGCAAGAATTACTGTAAATGTTATAAAGTGGTTTAAATCAATTCTAATTACATACTATTATGCATCTATTATTCTTTCATTATAACATTTTCATGAGAAACATATTACTAAAATAATTGAGGAGTAAAGAAATCATACAAATATTTTAATTTTATACTAACTTTTTCTTTAACACTTTCAAGCCGCTGGAACTCATATTATATTTATATTCATACTTTGTTATATTTAATCCATTAATAACTTATATTCGATGATCAATACAATTTTTAACAAAGTTTGTTTACATGCAAAATAGGTTACTTTACTGAATAAGCTTCCTACACGCCATAACACAAAATGTAATTGCTTTTGGTAGGTTATTTGGAAATGTTTTAACGGAAATTACCAATCACGAGTCATATCTAGTAAGTATCATAAAGTGAAAAAAAATATATAAAAATTTTAATTTTATATATTTAATATTAGTCAGTGGCTTCTTATAGATTTAGTAAATAAATTATATTTTGAAATATATCTTTTAAGAAAAATAATATTCTTAATCGATGGTTGTAAATCCTTAGAAGAATATGGACAATATTCTAAAGGAAATTATATAAAAAAATTTAATGACTGTTAATGTATTTGTCTTATGAATTAATATGTATATGTATACATATATATTCATGAAAATCATGATGTCTCCAAATAATGAAAAGCACGATTTACATTTAATGAAATATGTTAATAAGAGTACAGAACTAAAGATTATTAGAGGTACTTTAAATACAAAAACTAATAAGCTACGACTTAAAAAAGAAATACTCAAAGAAAGATATAAAGACTTGGTAAATTATTAATAAATTTAGAACTGTTTGTTAAATATGTATATATACATCATATATCTTCTACATTTATTTTAACATTGTTTTATTTTAAAGGATAATATAAATTGCAAAGTATGGGTTACAGAAGATGAATTTTGTAACGAAATTTGGAATTTTTCTTTAAGGCATAATTTTAATTCTATTTTTAATCAAAATTCTCATATTACAAAAGTAGATGAACTTCACAAATGTAAATATAACACTGTGATTGGTGAAAATTTAAACAAAGTTGATATGTGTAATAAAGTATTAAAATTAAAAAATGAAATTGATATTACCAATAAGGAAATAATACTCATTCGTAACAAAAATACAGAAACCGATTTAAAATATTGTGAATCTACTTTAGATGATCTAAGATCTTTTTCGGAAGAGATATTACAACTTATAAGGTATTATTATTAATATTTATAGATATTACTTTTACTATGTTCAATAAAAAGGAGTGACTTATATTGGTGTATATTAATTTTAGATTAATAATTACTTCAGGGAAAAATGTATACAATACAATGATAAATCGGAAATTAAGTACAAGTATGATGGAAGAATTTACGAGTGCAAGAAAATTGTTCCAAAAATCTAATTTTTGCGGTAGTGCTTTAACTGAAAATATTGTTTCTCCATCCAAAATTATTGAAGAATCTAAAGAAGTATATAATATAGTTATTACTTATTATATGAAATTATATTTTTTATTGTATCATATTTAAAATTGCAGTGTCATAACATTAAACATAATGTAAAGTTCGGAAGATTTATTATGAAAACGCGGAGTCTTATTTCTCTTAAATATGAAAAAAAAATGTAAGAAATTCAGGATGAGAGAAACGAATTAACGTATTCGTAGAAGTACTTCATTTCGTAAAAATAATGTACTGTAATTGCAATATTGCGGAAGTCACTAATATGTATAATAAAGTATTTTATAAGTTAATTTCAGTATTAAACAATAATTTGAATAAAATCAGAGTCCCAAAATGTTTATGTTATATTTATATATTTAGAAATATACAGCATCCTATATATTCATATACATTGAATTACATTAATATCATTTTAAAATTATATATACGTTATGTCGCACTTGATAGACTATTTAACAAGATTATAATTTGAGAAGTAATTTATTTTATTTTCATACAAATTTAATCATTTTTCGATCATACTATAGTATTACTTATGTATTTTAAAACTGTTGAACAGTTTATCACAACAATTTGTATTATAGCACTCTTTTTGGCAACTCTTAGATATACTCTGATACTCATTTAATATTTCACTTTGTGTTAAACATACACAAGTATGTACTGTTAAAGGAAAATGATATTTTAATTGCAACATTTTATATTTTTTTAGTAAGGAAGATGAATGAATATATTTTGTAAATTATATATACAACTATTATTGTTTATAACACAAAGATAAGCAATTTGACATGAAATTTATAAATTGACATTAATATTTAATTAAATTCAATTAATTTGAAAGTTATTAATAGCACAAAACTTATTAATGATATAATCTATAAAATTTGTCATTGCATAAAGAAAAAACTTTTAACATGAAGTTAGGTAAAGTCTTATTTATACAGTATTATTATCGGTCTTTATTTTATGGACAAGTTGTAGAAGTTTGAAAGACAAAGTTTAATGCAAATACATTACATTGTATTATAGTTGAAACATAACTAGTGTAGAAAAATTGTGTAAATAGACACATAACAAATCATACATTTATGTCAACGAGTAGTTACAGAATAGGCATACTTTTTCTTAATTATAATTAAAAGTTTGCTAAGTTCCATTTTATGTTTTATATGTTTCCATAATTCCCAAAATTAATAATTTTACATTTTCATTTACAAAATATTATAACTTAAAAAAATTGAAGTAGAATCTATGAATACTACTGTTCACTTACATCATACACAACAATGTTTCAATACCTATAATCTTTGTTTACTAACAAGCATATAGTCAATGTTTTCGATATATTGAAATAACACTAACTAAAGAATAAAAAATATCTGTTTGCTATATATATAACTTACAATATATTAATATAATATTATTTTGAGTTATACAATTAATACAAGTAAAATTGTGCTAATTATTTAATTTCTTATTGCACAGCCATTACATAGTAAAATGGATTATAAATCAAATTTTTATGTTTGCATTTATTAGTTTCTAAGAAAAACAGGTAGTATCAGGTGTATGAGTGTAAGAATCTGTAACATGTTTTAAAAATCAATATATTGTTGGCTATAAATAAAATCCAATCAACTGTTACAGTTATGAATCCAATATAAAACATACATATATACATATACATATAAGTTTGTATACAATTGACCATATTCAATAATGGGATCAATTATGATATAATTATTTGTAATTAATATTGGCACTATATTTCAGTGCAGAAAAAATACGAAAATTTTACTAATAATAAAAATACTTGCCTTTTTAAATGACATCAGAAGCACATATGGAACTTAGCAAAAAATGATCTTATAATAATATAAAATTAAAACTAGATAATAGTATGCTTGTTTGGCAGCTCCTTCATCTGATGAGAGCATACTAATGACTCAATTAAAAATCATAATTGCACTAATTATTACAGTTAATTAATTTAAAACGTCACAATTTTTAACTTTTCTGTAAACATATACAAGTATAAGTCAATGTATATTATAATTGCCACTGAATATTGCAACTTATTTAACAAATGTGAAAAAAATATTTTTTTATAATTATTTAGAATATTTAAATATAAGATTGTTTACATTTAGTCTTAGAAATAAAAAAATAATACGTTATTCATTACAGTATGCTAAGTGATATATAAATAGATTTTTTTGCCTTTTGGAAGAGTGTTTTCTTATGAAACCTCCCAGAACTGAAGCTCTTGCGGTATAACATAAAATAACTAACACAATATCTACTTTCAGGCTATAATACAAGGTAAACTTATCATTAAAAATAATTTTAATTCTTTCATCAAAATATCTTGTTTGTATGGCAATGGATAGCAGTAACTGAAATATAAAATCATTGATGCCGATTCTTAATTGTATTTCTTCAATTGAATAATATTATCTCACTCGATTGTAGTATACTATATAGTAAATCCTGAAAATAATAATTATGTCTCCAAAAATGATATTCATGTACCTGTCTGTAAGAAACTGTGAACTTAATGTATCTTTGAAGTAATGTATCTTAATATATTGCATGCAAATTAAAATACATTATATTTTATAATATTGATAAATAATATACATAAAATAAACAAAATAAATGAATGAAATATGAACTATATATATTAATAAAGTATGAGTAAAATTTATGTCATTACTATATCTAAAATATTTCATCATGAATTTATTTTCTTATAGCTTTATTTGCAGTTGTGCATATTTCCAAGTCAGCACCAATTTCATAATTTATTTATATATGTTTCTTTTTTCATATTGAGAATGTATCGCAGGCATGTGATTAGTTATTATTCATGTTATGAGAATACAAATATATGCACATTTTCATATATTATATATCCATAATTGCAGACATGTGATTAGTTATTATTCATCTTATGAGAATACAAATATATGCACATTTTTCATATATTATATATCCATAATTTATATAATTTTTATTGATGTGAGATCATTACAGTGAGAATGTAGTATTAATAGATATTAGTATCAAATATCATTTGTATCATTCTTATTAAGAATCGACATCTAAATCATATCAGAAATAATTTTTTTAATTTTGTTACATGGATCTATAAGGTCCTTGCATTTTTAAAAACTGAATAACTAAAGAAGGTCCCCCTGCTACTATTTCTGGTGGTATGTGAGAAAGTGGACAATTTTCAATTGACATAATACTGAGATTTGTGCATAAAGCTAATTCAAATGGTAAATTGTGTAAGTTAGCATTATCATTTACATAAAGTGAATCTAAATTTTCTAGTGTACCAATTTCTTCAGGTAAATAATTTAGATTGTTTTCTCCAACACTTAAATATGTTAAATTTGTTAAATGACCAATTGCTCTTGGCAAAGAAGTTACCTGATTAGACTGTAAGATTAGCTTCTGCAAGTCCCTTAGGAAACCAATTTCATTAGGTAAAGATTCAATTTTATTTTCTTCGAGATCTAACACCCTGAGTTTACGCAAGTTCGCTATGCTGGCAGGAATACGTTTTAATAAATTATTAGAAAGTATTAAGACTTCTAAATTTTGAAGGCATTGGATATCATCAGGAATTTTTGTAAGTTGATTTGTACCTAAATTTAATTCAACCATATTGACCCATGTCCCAATATCTAATGGCAAAGCAGTCAATTGATTTTCTTTCATGTTTAACTTTGCAAGGTTCTTTGCTCTAGAAAAAATAGCATATGGTATTTTATCTATTTTGTTATGTTCCAGATTGATGGAATAAACGTTTGTAAACTGAGCTGGTCCTCCTGATGGATATGCAGTAAAAGCATTCCTGGACAATGTGATTGTTGTCAAGTCTGAAAGACTTGCAAGCAGTCCATCTGGTAATTGAGATACTTGGTTTCCTTCTACACTAAATTCATCCATTAATTTACAATTTGCCAAGGACTTTGGAATACTAGTTAATCTATTATATCTAAGTCCTAATCTTGTTAATGAGACTAATCTTCCAATTGTATCTGGAATATCCAAAAGCTCATTGTGTTGCAAATCAAGTGTAGACAACTGGACACAATTCCCAATTTCTTCAGGTAAATGTTCCAAATGATTATGGGAAATATCAAATGTTATCAAATTGACTAATTTACCGATACCAGCAGGAAGTTCTCTGATTTTATTCTCTCTCAGACTCAACATTGTCAAATTTGTCAAATTTCGTATATTATCACTTACATATCGGACTCGATTGAAGCGTAAAAATAATGTTGTAAGATTCGTCAGTTTATATACGACATCGGGTATTTCGCTCAGTTTGTTGTGCCTTAAATCAAGGACTCTTAAAGACTTCAAATTCTCTAATGTATTTGGTAAACTTGTCAAAGAATTTTCACTCAAAGCTAATGTTTCCAAATTTCCAAGACAACCAATTTCTGGCGGCAACGTAACGAGTTTATTACCGTAGAGATAAAACTCGACTAAATGCGTCAAGTCCCGTACCGTACTAGGTAGATGAGTAATATTCGATTTACTTAAATCCAGCCGCTCTAAACATTCTTCTTTACATCTGGTAAATTCTTTAGAAACATCTAAATCAGCTTGTATCGGTTTCCCTTTCTTTGTAGTTGGCTTCGGTTTATTCGATTCCGGGTGTTTGACAGTTACTGTTTTTTTAGTGTCTGGTCCTGCTATGGACGCGGACGATAATTTTTTTTCTTTCGTTTGCTCTTTATTATCCCGTAGGACATCCACATCCTCAGGCATGTCGCCGGCTGTACAGGTGGTTAAACCACAGCCTTCCAAATATTCAGGAATATCTTGTTCCTTCATGTAAAAGTTCGGAACACTGTCTTCGAGGTCCTCACGGTCCCTCTTCACCTCGGACAAACACACTGTTGAAATGTTACCCACACCTGTCCAATATTTGTTCGACTTTTTCATAACCTAATCACTATACGTAACTATGATTATTTTCTGAGTATCTTCTATTTTTACGACATCATACTCTTTTTCAAGATTTTGTACTTTACAAGTATTGACATATCGATGTCATCCACTGCAAGTAGCGCAAACGCGAAACGGCTGTCCGAGGATTAGACGAACAACGAATACCTGAACACCGTTCCAAAAATCAGCTAAACATTATCTTTCGATATATCATATGTGTTATACATATTTTTCTCAAGTGCATTATGTTCTGAATAATAATTATATTTATAATAGATAGACATCACATATTTAAAATTATTCGAATATCAAGTTTTACAAATTGAAATTTGGGATTTTTGGTATCCAATGTACAATAACACATAGAAATATAGCTTAAATGATATTAAATCATGATGTCTTCTTGGACACAATATTTCAAACGTTTAAAATTGCAATTCAAATATTTTTGCAACGATTTTATAAAATAAAGTTGAATAAACTGTAGTTTAAGTCTGAATTACAAATAATTATCACAATGTTTGAACTTGAATTATTGCGAAAAAAGTTAGATCCTCTTGTAAAAGTAGATAAAATTTGTTTGTCATATGTAAATCGTATTTTTCCCGAGTTCAAAGATATGCCGTATTTTATTCTGTATAAAGAAGTATGTTGCATAATTGTTACCATTTTAGAAAAAGGATTATTTTAGTAAATATATTCTCTGTTATTTTATCAGGCTTCTGAATCTATTAATAATCATTCAGAATGTACCGATATTGATGAAACACGTAAGTTTTTTATACAATAAAATTTTTTTATTCGTGTTATAGAAGCTACTTGATTATTTTAGAATTTGACCTTACTGGATCGCCTTTGAAGTATTCATTTGGAGGAGAAGATGATTTTGAGGATAGCACAATTTTGATAAAGCAAAATTGGTATAAAGAGGAAGAAAAATACCTACCACTAAGTAGAACAGAAGCATGGTAAACTTATAAGAATTGCATAAAAGATATTTCTTGTAGTAAATATAATAAGTAACAGTAACAGCATGATTTTATTTTAGTATTGCATTGAATATATGCATTGAATTTATAAATGATTCTTTTCCACCAATATTTGCACTTTGCGATGGTAAGGATCATAAGAAAAGCAGGTTGTTAGGTGCAACAATCGAAGGAGAATGGTTTACCACCATAGAAACTTGTTTTGATGGTATTGAAACTTTTGAAACTGTTAAAAACTCTTCTTCTAAAATGCTTCAGAATCATTTGAAGCTATCAGATGCATCTAAACAAGATGTTAGTATTATCGTCCTTTTTAATAATCTATACATAATATTTATAGCATAATTTTATTCATGTATGTAGATTGCTGTCTCTGCATTCAGTACTTTTGATTTATTTGGAACAAAAGAGGAAATGATTGACAAACATAATAATATAAAAAGTAATTTCGAAGGGAGTCTAAGTGTAGAAATACATACTTGTAGTTTATCATGTACACCTACAAGAACATCCAAAAATAATTTGGTAACATTAATTAATTATAATGAATTGAACATATTTCTTCTTTAATTAGTTCATGTTTTATTTAGATTGTTCAAGTTACTACAAATTCAAATAATACTCCTTTAAAAGAATTATGGAAACAATTATTATTGTTAAATCAATATTTGTGTATGATAGAAGGTCATACAAAGAATATAGATTCTCATTATAATTCAATTCCCTTGGAATTTCCACATAATTTTATAAATCCATATGAAGAGGTATCCAAAAATTGTTGTATCTGAGATATTTATGTACCATTTCAAAGATTTAATAATGTCATTTTGATGATTATTTAAAATAGGAGCATGATAATATATTGAGCAATTTAAATCTTTTGTTAAATGGAGATTACAGCTTTAGACATTCTAGTGATATTGAGAAATACAAAATTAATTTTTCAAATGAAGAAAATTTAGAAAATGATATAAAAATTTATCAATATATTCAGAGTCTTCCATTTAGACACAATTTGGATTTTACAGACTTTTTATGGGAACTATTAATAAGTGAGTATATGTTATCTTTGTAGTAATGTAAAAGTAAATTTGTACCTGTGTATTTAAAATAATATTAATGCTTACAGAGAATTCAAGTTACTTTGAAATGATAAAATGCATTCATATAGTGCTTGATAAAATTCTAGTGAATGATTGTTTGCCACAGGTAATATTAATATTTAAAAAGAAAATTAATTTTATTTTTTGTATTAAATATGATCAAGAAAGGTGTTTATAATTATGAAATTATGAATATATATATATATATATATATATATATATATATATATATATATATATATATATATATATATATATATATATATATATATATATATATATATATATATATATATATATATATATATATATATATATATATATATATATATATATATATATATATATATATATATATATATATATATATATATATATATATATATATATATATATATATATATATATATATATATATATATATATATATATATATATATATATATATATATATATATATATATATATATATATATATATATATATATATATATATATATATATATATATATATATATATATATATATATATATATATATATATATATATATATATATATATATATATATATATATATATATATATATATATATATATATATATATATATATATATTAGGTTAATTATACAAATTCAACAAGGTTTGCGAAGATTATTACCAATCCACATCAGGAGAAAGTAATTTCACATTTATTATCAGGTAGTTTACCATTAGAATATGTTATAGACATGGGCTTTGAAAAGCTGTGCAGAGATTATATAAGCATTTTAGCAAATGCAAGATTTGGTGAATTGCATGATATTCAACAAAAATTAAAAAAGATATCTTGTAATGAGTTTACAATTGATACCTATAGGTATGTATAATGAAATTATTTATATTGCATTACATTATATATATTACAATATGTTTTCTCAGAAACTGTAGCAGATATTGACGAATACTTTTTTTTTTAATTACACGAGGACTGATTATTTGAGGAGCAATAGATTTTTCTGATACAACTGCTAAGGTTGTTAGGGAGATAAGGAGAACTCCCTTTATTTTTTAAAAGTGGCATGCCATATTAATATTTGTCCATTTACATACCTCTTATGAAACTAAATAGCATTTACTTGAAGGATTTTGCATTATTCTGCATAATTAAAGAGTTATGACAGAAAAAATCCTCCTGTACCATTGAAATAAAAAGAAGGAATTAGTCAATATCTGTTAAGGTTTCCGAGAAAACAGCTTGAACACTTTATGTAGTCGACCAACACAAATATGTGTTGTATGTGTTTTTAGAAAAAGATTATTATATTTGGTACAAATTCACATATGCTTGGAATTTATATTACTAATACAAGATAATTTAGAATGTTCAAATGATGATTTAAGAATTTTATTTGGTTGTGTATTCAAACAGTATGTCAGTGAAAAATCGCCAATACAAAGTTGCGATTTACATCAAAACAAAATTTATACTTTAAAAACTCCCCTTCCCACCTCAGCAGTGCATCATTTACATGAGTAAGTTTAGTAATAATTTAGTAAATTATATCGTTTTCATATAACGAATTTAATATATATTTATATTAATATAATAATACACATTACAAATTTAAATTTATATAAATATAAATTTCATATAAATATATATTATATGTTGCTTCCAGAATTCCGAGTGTGAGAAGAATTTCACTTTCATCTCAGTCTAAATTGAGAAAACTAAAGACAATTAAATACTGTAGTCAGTTACCGATTTTTCCAACAAGTATATATCCATTAGGTAAAATTCTTATAAATAATATAATATTTAAGATAATACTTACATGCATGAAATTGTTCCTAACATTTTTTTTAGACGATTCAAGTACAATAGGTGAAGGATATTATGTGCTCAAAACAATGTTTTCATCTAATAAAATTAAATAAAATAATGATTTCAACATACTTTGACAAAATAAAACAAGCAAGATTCAGAACTTTATTTGGTCAGGTATTAAAAGTAATCCGATTATATTGCGAGGTAATTATATGTTTAATTTATAATTAATAAAATAAAAGTTATAAAAGCATTTTTCAAATACATTAAATGTATTCAGTGTATAAATATAACTAGATTTATGAGTGTTTGTACTCTCAGTCATTGATAATGTACACTCCAATTTACTATTAGACAATACTTTCACTGACCTAAACCTTGTTAAATATATATATATTTATATATATAGTATGAATTATACTTTTAATTCAAACTACTCTTCAATGTACAAATATATATGCAAAGTATGTTATATTCATTAAAATATCTGGTCAAATTTTTTATGAACTTTATAGCCATCATTAAAAAGATATATACTGTTACATACAATGTAAGTCCTCTATATTATAGAAATAGACCGTTTTATGCTTTGAATCCATTTAACATACTTTGGTTGTCTTTATGAGTATCAGTACTATTAATGATAAAAATTATATCAACTCTAAGCCATTAATTAAAGCATGACCTTCCATGCAATAAGTACATAACATAAACAATTTTAATACTGAGAAGTTTCTACATCATCTACTCCAGAAATACTAGCTTGTTCAAGTACTTCAAGAAGCTTCTGCATTTCCATAGAATCCGATGAATTGTCAAGCGTTCTTTCGAGTGCTCGTACATATGACATACACGTACGCCCTTCGTGGTCTAAGTTTTGTGGATTTGCTTTATGCTGTAATTATTCAACAATATACAAGTACTTATATGATTTTTATAACATATGTATATATACTTTAATCGGTCAAGAATAAATACACACCCATATTAGAAGTTGTGCCATAGCTAAATTTCCTGTAGCACAAGCCAAATGCAAAGGCGTTCTTAAATCTTCCATACTGACAGGCATATTGATATCTTCATAACTACATCTGGCTAAGCATAATGTAAATGCTCTCATATCACCCCTACATTACATTTAATACAGCAAATCATCCAACAATAATTTATAACAATACAACTCATCCGAAAGTCTAAAAATATTTACCGGCAAACCGAATCAATAAGCAGTTTCCCTAAAGAAATGTTCGGATTAATCGGTGGTAAAAAGAGTTTGTCTTCATATTTCCATCTGATCCATTGTTCCTTCTCTTCTCTAGGAGAATCTGAATTTGGTTTCTGTTTCCCATTTAGACAATATTCCCAAACATTATTTGCTATATCATTACCAAGGGCTAACATTACACTTAACTGACCTGCGCTAAAATTAATGTCAAGGCTATTTTATGCTGTATATACATGCATAGCTCACATGCAATACTAATAATATACACTTATATAATTATATGTTTAAGAACAAATCATTTATTAATAAAATTATTATTTTGCTAAAATTATTATATTCATTATTACATAGATCGAAAAATTGAAACGATAAAATAAGTAGCTATCGCACTTACGACCAATCATCCAAGTCTAAGGATCTAACTTTTGATATGTGTGAACCTAAATTTCTGTGTATTCCTGAGCATTCAATGCACATTAATACACCTAAGTTTAAACTAGCCCAGTCCGGATCTAAAATACGATTATAAATTGAATATAAGGAATAAAATCAAAGACTTCTCTAATAAATTTAGAAGTGAACTACTTACTAGGTACACCACAATCTACACAAGCATCATTTCCTGATACTTTGTTCTTTATACAATGCATTTTGAAAGCATCAGTTTCGTTTTTTTTATCACCATCGCTATTTTGTAAACTCGATAATATCTGTTGTTCTATAGCAGAAATCCAACTATCTCTGTCTTCAGAATTATTTGCTTCAAAATGCCATGTCTTATTTTCTAGTGAAATGATAGAAAATTCAAAACTATCTTCTGTAAATTAAGATACACACAAAATGAAATCAATTTGTTTATAATATAAAATGTAGGAGCATTCAAATAAATATTTAAGCACCTTGAGCATTGGATGATTTAGAACCTTTAGGCGTTTTTCCAGGCACTTTTACAGTCACATATTGTAATAATATTTCTTTACCATTAGTATCATTCATATAATCCTGGAAACATATGTAAATCTCTTAAACATAATGCACAATGTTTATAAAAATATTAAATTACGATACAATTACATGTAAGCTGGAATGATAAGTTAAACGACCATCTTCCAATAATGTAACATATTTCTTTTTCCATTCTTTTAAAGATTTACTACTGCGTTTAAATAAGTATCCTTGTTTAACAGGTATTTCCCTACCAACACCCATCTCACCCATGTTATATTTTTCCTTTTTTGATGGAGTAAATATATTAGACTTTCTTCTAAACTTCCTATATCATAAAACTTGAGTAAAAAAAATTTTTTCTGCAATTAAAAAAATTATATATTACAAAAATTAAACCTGATAGTGGTTGGTGTTAATATTGAGGATCTAAAATCTCCATGTTGATTCTGTGCATTATGAAAATTGTCACCCATTATTCCAGAATCATTTTGGGTAGAACTATGATGAAATGATCTACTAGAATCTTCATCTTTATCAGATACCTGGACAAATATAAATTGTTACACAAATTTTTTAATTCAATACATTGAAAGAAGAGAATAACTCACGTTTAATTTTGACGAATTTGTTGCTTCCATTTCTTTGGTCAGAAGTTGTGTATTTTTGGCAATCATTGGAACAGAATACTTTGTTTCATTATCTATTGCTTGTTGTCCATTACATCGATAATGTTTTGCAGATATATGTTGTATAATTTTTTGACACACTGTAATATTCAGAATACTCTCAAAATATTTATCAAAGTCACTACAGTATAATAGTAATGATGTAAGAAAGAATACAATAAAAATGAATGATATTTATACATGCTGTGAATTTAGTACAAACAAACTATTACATTGTAAACTATTCTGTAATGAAACTAAATTTGCATGCAACATTGGGAATTATTCTAAACTATTTACCATCTTGAAATACCCTTTCAACATTCAAACCATAAATAGCACATGTTTCATAATAAGGACACCTCAAGTCACATGCCAATTTTCGTGGTCTAACATCCTTTATAACCCGGGGATTAGAATCATTAATTGAATCTAAATAATGTAATAAACATGATTTAATAAAAAAAAAATTGGTGTACATTGTAATGTATAAGAAATTCATGTAACAAGAAATATTTTTATAATTATTAAATGTAAGTATTACCTTGAACTCCTACTAGTATTTTTGGTACTTCTGACATATTTCGAAATGAACACATTCTATTATAAAAACTGCAAACTATTGAGAAACTTTCCTCACTCTCTAAACTAAATACAAGTAATAAAGCATCTATCCAAGCAGAAAACTGAAATAAGTGATGCCTGTGTTAAATGTTATTAAGTAAAGAATATTATCACAATAATATGCATAATATGTTTTTTAACATATGTATACATAAATACACATATGTACATCTATATGATAATTATATATATAATATATTGTTGTATACTTGTGACTCTGGTACACCACCCTCATCTCTAATTAGCAAGAGATAACTCTGATCATTGATAAAGACTTCCTTTTTAAAGCGACCACCTTCTGGAGATTCTTCATGCATAAATGAACCAGTTAAATATCTATGAACTAAAGCAGATTTCCCTGAGTCGGATGAACCAATAATTCCCAAATGTAATTCTGGAACATCTCTAGCCAATGTCCACTCATGACTATTGACAAATGAATCTATTAACAAAAGATTTTAATTCATAGTAATTAAAAAAAATAATAACTTGCTTATTGTTATATAAAAAATATATTTATAAATATTAAAATAAAAAATATATATATATTACTTTTTTTCGCAATAAGTATCATACCTTCAATTGCAACAACATGTTCGCGGATTTGTTTTGCAATGTGTGTATCAGATATCAGATCTATTAAATCATAAATAGCGTAAATTGATGGATGAACACTTTCGAAACGTTGTATTTCTTGTCTAATTGCAAGGGAATGATCGTGCGCACTTTGCTCAGTTGTCATTTTCTTAAAATTTCTTAAAATTACTTTTCGAAATCACATTACTGATACAGCCTCGAACTGTATTGTATTCGAGTCAACGATTAAAATATTTCCACATGATTTCAAGAATTGAAACTTATCTGTTATCATGTAACACATGTCAAATTTGGCTATTTATCAACATTATTGGATGAACAAAACAGGTTATTTGGCACTCTGCATAAAGCAACCCCACCTTTTTGGGAAACAAATACAGAACGTACTGTCAAATTGCCAAGATAAAGTTATTAGATTTAATACTTGTAAATCAACTATATTGCAAGACTTGGCTTCTTTTATAAAAAATGTTATACGCTGTTAAAATATTCTTTTTACGTAAAGCTTATATGAAACTTCATTACGTTCATGGTTTTATAGATCTGTCGTCCAAAAAGTGTATGAAGGCCTACATTGCCAACCAATAAATGTTAGGTACCGTTGCAGAATGCAATTGAATGTAATTACAGTGCAGTCTATTTTTATTTACAAGAAAAACCGTACAACCTGATATCTATCAATGATCATTGTTATTAAAAGTCATGTTTACTCAATTAATTACAATAAAACTATAATCTATAATAATATAAGAGCAACCTAAATCTATTGACATTTCCAACATAGATGTAACTAGATAAGGTTTGTTTGTACTGCAGCGCATGAATCAGGCATGAATCAATTATAGCGTCTCTTATGACACTTATTGTTCCTTTTTCAAAGTACTTTTTATAAAGAAAAAATGATAAAAATGATCAAAATATTAATTGTATTGTGAGAATTAATAAATCTATTCAACTATTTTGCCTAAAATACACTTTCATAAATTTGCTTTGTAGAAGAGTAAAATACGATTAAAAAATATAATTTACAAAAATATTCACAATGTCTAATGTACAAATTGATGATGATATTTATGATGGATATAATGATTATCCATCAATATATAGTATCAAAGATCTTGAACAAGATGAATTAATTCAAGAGACACTGCATACAAGTTATGCAAAAAGACCAATTGTAAGTGATAATGAATACATGTACAATAAAACAGAATAGTTGGACTGAATAATAAAATATTTTGACTTTTTAATTATGCAGTTTACACCAAAAGTACCAGGAAGTGCTATGCGTTTGGGTACTTCAACTGGGGTAAATGAATATATTATCTTGTATTGTATTTCATAATATTGTTTTAATATGCAATTTAATATTTATAGTTTCACAGAAGTGGTACTGGTATACCAGTGCGTCCTAATACTAGTGGACTAAGGCCAATGACTGCAGTCAGAGGAGCTGGTTATACTAGTAGTAATCGTCAACCATTTGATCCATTGAATATGAATAGTTCTACCAGAGGGCCTGCACCACCTTTAGAAAGTGGAAAGGAAGACACGTAAGATCATAGTGATTGATAATAAAATAAAATTAAATTGTATTAAGTTTTTGAAGAGCAGTATTTTAATACTTTATAAAGGCCTGAAGAAAAAATAAAAGTGGCTGAAAGAAAAATTATGGAACTAATAGAAAGTTCAGTACAAGCATCATATGAAAACAATACAAGAGTTGCTTTAGAGAGAGCCAAAGAAGCTTCTTCGAGGGAAAGAGCTCTTATTAGACTACAAGAACAAGCTGGGCTTAGTGACAATCATAATGTAGATTTAACATTTGCTGTAAGAATTAAATTTTGTCTTTGAAATATGTTTTACCAAAAATATTGAAGACTGTTAATGTCTTATCATTTTTCAGGTCATTTTTAATTTGGCAACTCAATATACTAACAATAATATGTTTACTGAAGCTATAGCAACTTACCAAGCTATAACAAGAAATAGGATGTTCAGCAATAGTGCCAGATTAAAAGTGAATATGGGAAATATATATGTCAAAATGGGACAATTGTCTCAAGCAATTAAAATGTACAGAATGGCATTTGATCAAGCTCCAGCAGCTCATAAAGATTTAAGGTAATGAGATGATTGAGAGTTATTATAAGAACTTGTTGGGCTACTAATATTAAATTTTTATGTCTGCCATTTTTATATTAACTTACTAAATAATTCGCAGAATAAAAATAATGCATAACATTGGAATGTTATTTGTACAAATGGGTCGTTTGGAAGAAGCAGCTAATAGTTTTGAATGGGTCATGAAAGAAAGAGCTGAATTTAAAGCAGGCTTGCATGCTGTTTTATGCCATTTTGCATTATCTCATAGGGATAAAATGAAAAGGTCATTTTTAGAGTTATTAGAGGTTCAACTTAACATAGATCAGGAGGACAGATATAATATAAGTACAGTGAGTTGGGCACGTTTATAAATATCACTATGCAAAGTGTTTTTCTGAGCATTGCCCACACTCAATAGCTATATAAGTATTTAGTCTTGTGCTTTAAATCATATTGGGAAACACATTTTTGAAAAATGATTATGATTTTATGCACTAATGTTTTTATGTAGCAATTTTAAGTTTATTGACAATATTGTACCCACTAAGCACAATGTAAATACATTGCTAGTTCCCAATAAAATATTTGTTCTAGTTCTATTTTAAAATTTTTGCATTTTATTTTGTAGGATGATGCTGCTTTTAACATATTGAATGAAATTTTAAAAAATGATGATTTGTCTAAGTTAGAGAAAGAGTTAAAATTGGAAGCAGAGAAAACTATTCTTTGTGCTGCAAAACTCATTGCACCTGTAATTGAAGATACACTCACAGCTGGTTTTGCTTGGTAAGATTAAAATACTACTTAAATTAAACACTGCTAAATTTTTTGTGTATTAATTACAATCAAATTTTTTATAGGTGTGTGGATACTATAAAGTCTTCAACTTATGGACCATTAGCTGCCGATTTGGAAATAAGTAAAGCTATGGTATTTTTACATAATCGAGAAACGCAATTGGCTATTGATACCTTAAAAATGTTTGAAAATCGTGAAAGTAAAGCTAATAGTTCCGCTGCGACAATGCTTTCATTTATTTACTTTCTTGTAAGAAATGATATTTGTTTTCATTGATTATGAATAAAATATCGATAAAATAATTTTTATATCACTTTCAGCAAGGAGATTACGAACAAGCGGAAAGATGCGGAGAAATTGCTCGAAATGCGGACAGTTACAATGCAGCAGCTTATGTTAATTTATCAGCTTGTGCAATCAGAAAGGGTGAATTAAATATTGCTAGAGAACTTCTCTTATGCTCATTAGATACGGATGCTAGTCACGTGCAAGCTCTTTATAATTTAGGTAATTATTACTACTAACGTGGAAGTATAAATATCAAATATTTTATGAAATCTCATTTAATAGGGTTAGTATATAAAAAGCAAAATATGTACGAAGAAGCATTGGAATGTTTTTGGAAAGTTCGTAACATTGCTAGACACGATCCACAAACAGTATATCAAATTGGTCAATTATATCAACTTATGAACGATACAGACCAAGCAACAGAATGGTATTACGATTTTATATGCATCTTGAAATTGATTTTAATTTGAGTAATTAATATTTGAATTTATATTAGGTACAATCAATTACTTGGTATAATACCATGTGATCCTGGAGTTTTGCAAAAAGTGGGTGAAATGTATGATACTGGTGGAGATAAACAACAAGCCTATCAATTTTATAGCGATGTAAACTTTTTTACTGTACACATATTTTATTTCATTCTACTATATTTTATTATTAAAGTTTATATCTGTCCAGTCTTATAGATTTTTTCCCGCCAATTTTGAGGTAATCGATTGGCTTGGATCATATTTCGTATCGATGCAACTTGCCGAGAAAGCGCTAGTTTATTTTAAGAAAGCAGTAGAACTTGCTCCTGATGAGCCAAGATGGCGATTACTTGTCGCTGCATGTTTAAGACGAATTGGTCAATTTCACAAAGCTGTTTTGGAGTATCAAGATATTCATAATAAGTTTCCTGAGAATATTGAATGCTTGAAATTTTTGGTTCGTTTATGTAGTGATCTCGGCTTAAAAGAAGCACAATTATATGCAACAGAATTAAAACGCGCCGAGAAAGCGAAAGAATTGAAGGATAGACAAGGATCAGCAAGACCAGGTACAGGTAGTGTATATCTTTGACTGTATGAAACATGGTATTATTACTATATTTAATACCTATATATAGGCTCAAGAAGGAGTAATAGCGGGACATCATCACGAACTGGTTCTGGAATGAGCGTATTATCAGACCACAGGTCAAGTCCCACGTTTAATAGAAGAGAAAATCAAGGTTTAAGTAGCGCTGGTATCACGCGACCTAATCGAGTTTCTGCAACTGAAAATATTACGGACGTGGCAAACGATGTCACTGATCAAACAGGTACGCACTCTTTTACGTTGAAATCGTACAAAAAAATAATAAATTTTACGATCGGTATAATTTGCGAAATAGTAGATATACGAATGCTTAGTACAGTTATCAAAGTGTCGGGAATACGTAGCTTTATTTGAAATGAACATTAACAAGGATGATTTACCGATGATAGTTGGACTACGCTAATGGATTGAATAGATGATAGATGAGTCTAGCTATTTTGAACAGCCTATTTTTGATCCTTGTATACAATAATGAATCCCAAACTTGTACGGCATCCTATTGTTTATTATCGATCATTTAAACAATTTAAAAGGAAATACTACACAAAGAGGTGTTACAAGTGCATGTAAAGTATTTTCTGTAGGTACTCCTTATGTTGATCCCATTGGCCCGTTACCTGTTCGTCCTATGACGTCTGCCGGAAAAAGAGATGATGATTTTGGTGATGAAGAACTCGGCGATGATCTGTTACCGGAATAGTATGAATTTGTTACATTTATCATTTTTATATTTTATCTTATTATTTTTATAAACGTAATGCTAGTTAAAAGTACAAAGCAAAGTATCTCACGTGTTTTAATTTTATGGCAACGAATAAATGAAAATAGAGACATAAGTTTATATATCTTTTTCACTTGAGTTAATCTCGTTTGGTATCAGTCATTAAGCTTACATGGAAAACCTCACGTGCGCGTTTATCTACTTCATCAATGTCGTAAAGTTTAACTTCAGAAATGGAGTTATTACCGTTCCTTTGCACGTTCTCATCAGGTTTTCAAAGTCAAGTCTGAATATACTGGAGTCTTAATATCGTGGTTTTATTAATTATCATTTCGAAGTGCAAGTTGCTTGTCTATAGAATGGTACTGCACATTACGAAACCACGAGGGTCGAGCAATTGTAACGATCTAAATTTAAACACACTGACCACTTTAATCAAACTCCATTCAGCCTATGTAGCTTAGGAGACGGATGTTATTTTATTGTAGCTATGTTCAAACTCCATTCAACCGACATAATGCGAACCTGTAAGGGCATTGGGAACGTGCTGTTCTAAACTTCTATACTTTTATCACATTTACGTTAAATAAATTCCTATTGTTATGTATAGTAGTTATATATATATATATATTTTACGTAGTCTCGATTCCTCTCATCTTTTACCGAGTTCATCACGAGACTATCGAAGGAATTGAGAATCGATGGATCTACCGAAAAGTTTGTGGGAAAAAGGCGAGAGGTATCAGTTGCGCGACGCTGGAGAAATCTTTACGTTTATGCGCGTGTTACATGGTTTTGTATCGCGAGTACAATATCACGTGGTCTCAATGCGTGCGATATCCTAGAACGCGTGTGTGTATCCGCATTCACGCGATACATCAGAGAGACTGTCACGAGTTAAGACTGTCTGTGCACAAAAAGAGACAAGCGTAGGACAGATGTAGTGGTCGCGTTTATGAAACGCGTAAGCGCGTGTGCGGGCACGAAGGCGCGCGCACGCAATACGCGCCGATATGGTTTTAAAGTTCGAGCAGTGGGGAAAGCGACGATCTGGAGGCTCGACTAGTTGCTACTCTGAGGCGGAGTACATTTCACGGTATCCCACCCACGTGCTTGTACGTGTGAGTGAGCTCTGTCACGTCTCGAGAAGCTTACAGTCACTGACCGGTAACTGGAGCCAGCGAAGGATAGAAAAGGATCAAGAAGCTGGAGCAATCGCGCGAGTCGACAGTCATACGTAGAAAGTATTAGGGTGAGTTTGTATTTCGTTTTCCTAGAACGGAGCGCACGCGCTAGTCAACACCATCGTTGATCCTTGATAACAGGAGTATGTTTGATTTGTTCAAACGGCGTCAATGTCATCGTAATATCATGTATTGCTTCCGAGTCCTGGATTAACACAGACTTATTATTTCTCTAACCGGTTTCAAACGTTGATGTCGTTGTCGCGGCATGAGAAATTCAATGTGAAGGCATCTATTTCTAGTGTTTACTTTGTTGACGAGACCACGTGGGTCCTTGAAATGTTACACTGCAGGTGTTGTCATCGTACTTTAACGTATTCCTATGATTTTACTCGAGTACAGTTTTAACTTTACGCTCATCGAACTGTTCAAATGTTTCAAATGAATTCAAACGTTATCATCGTCACATCTCGTACATATTCACGCTGCATTTTTTTTGCACTTTATTAGACTTTGTCATTGACGATTCATGTATTATGTTGCGGGTATTACCGTTTGTCAAACATCGACTATTTCTGATAAATATCTTATCTTCTGGTCCGATCGTTATCGATGAAACTAATTTTGTAAAATACAATGTGTCGAGAGACATACGAGCTTATCGCATGATTTTTAATACCCTTTGAAATTAAAGTCATGTACTCTATCTTCGCCGTGATATTCTGAATGTATTATATATATCTAAATAGTCGTCACTGTCACATTTTCCTTGGCGCATAAACGCGACCAATCAACACGAAATATTGACAGCTATTTAAGCAACACGTGTTTATGAACGTGTTTCGGACTTAGTGATTTCACCAATAACTAAAATGCATCTAAAAATAACGCGTCGATGGCGTAAACCATAAGATATTATCACGAATTTGTCGTCCAATTGGAAAATTTTAATACATTAATTATTTCATCTATTACTTGTGTATTACTACGATACGGTATCGCTACAATAGATAACGACTTTTTCTTTTTTAGTAGCAGACAAACAATTTCGAGGTTTAGATTCGTCGCCCGATACTTTGCTTAAGTTTTTGGAAAAAGAAAGAGAACAAGAAATCCAATATTTCGAAACGTAAAACGAGCCGCTGCATTATCAAGGGAATTCTATTCGATTAAGATTTATTCGAGACCTTGGTGATAATGGTCCCGTAATTCACGGAAGCTCTATAATTCAAGCGGTAAAGATCATACATAATAACTGGGCATGCTCTTAACGAAAGGGCAGTCTGTTATCGTGAATGTAAAGTGCGTTTCGTCAAAAGCTGCTCATGAGTTCAATTTTACAACAAGTTGATTGAATAAACACTGCGCTCAACGTACGTTTTGCACGCTGTTCGTACGTCGAACTCTCGTGTCATTCTATTTACGTCATATTCGTTAATCTGATAAATCGAACGTGGTAACGATAAATTAACGATAAATTAACGATAAACGAAAAAAAAGGTACAGTGGAGATCTTTAATCGCGATAGGTGAAGAACTGCTTGACGGAGTTCGTATTTCTCAATGGGACTATCATTCGCAGAAGAAGGTGATGTGACGATTGACATGGTCCCTGTGACGAGTGTGCGTATTGCACTATGGATTAGAATCATCACGTCAAGTCAAGTGGCTAAATTATCCTGGTTGATGCTTTGCACCTTCCAATTGATTTTAATGGAGCTTCGTTCAGAAGCGACTTTGCTGTCTCGAAGAACGTTCTGGTGACATTTCACGATTTCTTCTCCCATTGGTAATCGACCGTGAAAAATCTATCGTGAATTGACCAACTTAAATGATCATCGATCAAATTAACCGACTCATCAGACAGAGATCGTTGCGGTTCGAAGCTAAGAACACAGTAATCGAGCTTGCTTCTATACGGTTACAGCGCGGATTCTAACGTTTAGGTACAATTTACGACGAGTACATAGCAATTCTATCGTTCGTACTTTATAAGTACGTTTTTTCTTGCGTCTCTTTTCTTTTTACTTGTGGACTGTTGATTCGGAAGTTAGTCAGCGTCTTTTCTTTCGTTTCATTCTTTTACGTTCAATTTCTTCTTATCTGCCCATAAATAATTGCAAATTAGTTAACATTAACAAAGGAAATATCAGGGAGAAGTCGTGGAGGGGAAGTAAGTAAGAAACGGTTAAAGAGATAATAAAAGAAATATGTATGTCATTGATATGGGAGGAACACGACATGTAGCTCGAACAATCTTGCTCACCGAACAGGTTCTTCAACTTTTATGCCCTTAATATCGACGTCAAAACTGGAATTTATCTTCTTTTTTAATGCACCGAACGCTTTATTTCTCGAGAGATGAATATTCTCCGTTTCATTTCAGTATTTAAACAACTCGATAACGGAGCAGATAATATTTTAAAATTCAATTAAGTTTTTAAGTTTGCTGAACTACTCGATCGATTCAAATGGTCAGTTTATGCATAAGACTGCATGCACTCGTAATATGTAAGTTCGCGCAAGCGCGACGCGTGTATTCTGATTCTCGCATACGCGTGTGTTTATTGTGTACCGACGACATGCATCTACAGAGACATCCAACACACAAGAAGTTCGGATAAAGAATCGCGTCCGTAAATTGCGGCGAGTGATTCTGTACGTTGTACTTCTTTCGCATCGAATTTGAAGAATGTCGCAACCTCGACAGGGTGTGATTAGTGAACGGTGAATTTCTTTTCCTTGATGGATCTCCTTTAAATTTTGTGATCAGTATTATCACTTGTTTGCCACTGTTGCAATATATTTACGAGTTCACAAGATTGACTCCTCATTATCATTAAGGTTTTCTATTTGGTCGATAAGACTGTCTGTATGAGCAATATATTTTAGCCAATGTATCATGGCTATCGCGAAATTGTCAGAAGGAATGTTCGTACGAGTTACATTAAGCAACCGTATATTTTCTTTTTATCAATTAGTGACGAGATAATGCTACGACGATTGATGACCTGTAGAGCAAAGAGTGCCTGTCTGGTAATGATATCGGTCAAGCAATTATGTCTTCCTATAAGTTTTAGATAAAATGGCCTTTTCCTTGCCATAGTGGTCGATGTACGATATATGATTGTTTGTTAAATTCTCTTCAGGCTTGCCAAATAGATGAATCGCCGTTTTCACATCCAAAAAACTTATGCTGTGCCTCATTTATTTGGCTTGTAGAATTATCATTATATCCGGTATTAATTAATTTAAGCAATGTAATCGAACGGTGTAGAATTAATCGTTATTTTGCGTCATAGTTAATAGCAGATTAGTGCAAAGGAAATGCTAAACGTAACGTCTGATTGCTGTTTCTTGAGAACGCGATGTTATAATTCACGTGACTCGATTACGGTGTTATCAAATGTTATAAAACATCATGGACTTTCAACTTTTCGTTTAACAGCAACTCTCTCGTGTTATCATCTAGCCGAAAGTCAAGGAAAAGAGTGGAAGTAGGGAAAATAAATAAGCGTAATAGTAAACGAAGTGATCTCTTTAACTCGACATCAGAAAGTCTCTCGTGCTCGTGAAGAACCACGCGACAATTCGTTTCGTCGCGCACACCTACCTTGTCAGCCGTCACGGAAAATTCATTCACGTTGTAGCATCGCCTCTCTCATTCAAGAAGCTTCTATCTAAAGATAACGTTTGTGACAGTCAGGTGAGCGCGGGATATGTGCTTTTTACTTTTATTTTTTTTCTAATCGCTCTATTGTCACTGATCTCCTAAAGTTTGTTGTACATTAGACCAAAGATTGTATCAGAACTCTTATTATGCGTTGTTCGTTCTTTTCGCGTTTCACTAGTCAAGTTTCATAAATATTCTATATTGGCTGATGAATTTCTTATTTTCCAGATAAATAAAAGCTTTCAAACATGGTCGTCCCTACGGAACATGCTCTTAACGAGGCGATACAAGTAGCGCCGTTGGTACTTTCGGACGATGTAAAGAGACATAAAGTGAGTAGATATAATGCGTTTGCATTTTACGCTCCACGTTGTTATTTAGAAGATTTTTTGTCTGTCTTGAACTTTTATCTTTTGGACTTACACGAATCAGAGGAAACTCGTAGTTCTGTCGTAATCGAGCGGGTGCGAACGCTCGATAAGGATGTCATTGAAAGAAACAAGACGAAGTTATGAAAATCATGGATTCAAACATCCATCATACTTACTGCTTACGAATGTTATTTGATCGCGCCCTGCTATTTCAAGAATTTGTCGAGCGATACGTCATCGGATCGCTAAAAAACATCCGTGCTCCGACGTTGTATCTATGTATTTATATGTTTTTTTCCCAGTTAGTCTATACGCTTCTTGCATAATTGATCGATATCTGACCGATCAATGTCAACTAGATTGAATCATTTCCGATGTAAGAAATGGCGAACACCGAGTCCTTAACCTTACGACATTCTCGTTAAGAGTTTACTGGCACCGATCGATCCTGCACACATACTTTCACTTTTGTTCCCGTCGATCTCTGTAGCAATGGCCACTAAGAGCAATTTATTCCGTCTGGTATATGCACTTTTCTTGAATGTGTATGATTACTTACGTAACCGTTTGTCGTTTATATAGAAACCGTTTAATTCGTGACAATATGCGTGCTGTGTCTTAACGAGAATTCAAGGGAATTTTTCTTCTGCGAAGCAAATATCTTGTAGCTCGGTAATCAAGGAATTCAGCGCAAAATGTGCAATTACCGATATACGACGTGATTAATATTTTTCTATAAGATACTACAATTAAGATGGTTTAAACTGAGTTCGACCAGTTATCATTCGTTTAGCCTCAAACCAGTCGTAAGTCATTTACTTATCATGAGTCGGGGCATAGGGTTATCATAGGGAATTTTTACTACAAAGAGTTCAAGATTTTCAAATAAGTTATCGACGAAGATACGTTGCTTCATGCGATGATAAAACGGATAGAACGAGAATAATTAATAGTTCTATTGATCCGCTGTAACAATCGGTTGGAAATCAAAAAATAACAAAGCTTTCATGTTTCCTTTAATTGAATAGAATTTCGTAACAATCGACAATGCAAACGTTCGTGTGGGCTCGTACGATAAATGTTTTCATAGAGAATGTTACGCAACTGGAAATAAGTTACCCACACGCTCTTTTTGTATTTGATTAAAGTAGACCCAACAATGTCATGGTTAATTTCTGTTTATTCTTATTTCTCTATGACTTGAGTTTCTTCCTTGATCTTTTTCGAATCGATATAAAGCGGATAAGCGTCACGAGAACAAGACATGGTAATAATTTCATCTACCGCTATCACTGTATATCGCGTTGACAATTCAATCCATGAAACAAGCAATAAATTTCTTTCCACTTAAACTGTCATGTCGCTTAATACCTTTTGTCTCGTGCATTACCGGAGATTGTTTACGTACGAATATAGAACAGTACGCGGATATATTTTCTTTCCTAGCGACGAGCTCGTAATTTCCACAACAAGATGGCATTGACAATTGATCAAGACATTTTCTTGTCTTTCACTCGTCGGTTTAATATCGATTTTCAGAATTTGTACGTTCTTGGTACTTGGTAGTGATGTTTGCGTGAATGCAACCGGTTTGCCTTTGAGGAAGTGAAATATTAGTATTATCTTGGTTATGAGAAGTCTGCTTTCGATATTCTACTTGCATACGTATGTTGAACTCTGAAATAGAAAATAATCGAGACGAGGTATTAAAAATTTGTAGATTTGATCCGTGTACAATGTACAGGCGAAAATATCCAACGGAAATATACAATGTACAAATAGCGTTCATTTGTTGCGATAGCACTACATTTCTTACATAAACTCGAACGTAAAGACTATTTTATCGCATGTGTTAAGTATCCTATTGTTCGATTAGAACTTCCGTCAAGTAGCAAATGCTCTATTGTCGCAAAATTTAACCACTTTATCATCGCGATTTGCCATCTGATTAGTATGAACGTGAATTCTACCTCTGGCGTGTCTATTAGAATCCCATTATAGATCACGTAACAGAGAGCAAGGTAAATACGAAAATTCCTCATAATCTTTATCAAAGGATTATTAAGATTTATAACTGGCGGAAAATTTCCCGACGATATTGTCCCGATCAAACAATTTCAATTACTATCACACGGATCATATAACGATGGCTTAAAGGATTTTATTTATAGATCGAAACACGACTGGCACAGCTACGGTTTTCGGCTGCCACTGTAAGGAAGATCCAGGATGTTTTTGTGTCGGAAATGAATAAAGGAATTCACCAGCAGCCGTCGTCACTGCAGATGGAGAATACCTATGTCCCGGAACTACTCGATGGCACAGGTTCCTATAATTCAAATCTTTGATAAGATTTTTCCCCAATTTGATAAGTATTATTTTCCGCTATGTGATCGGCAGGAATTTTATGCGATTATACAATAGTTATTACGATATCTGGTGTATATATGTTGTAATCTAATAATACGAGCGGAACAATTGTAGCTTCTAACTTTGTTAGTTTTGTCTAGTTAATCACAATGTTGAAAGATCAATGCAAAATATTTTCAGAGGAGGGCTTGTATTTGGCGCTGGATCTTGGAGGCACGAATTTCCGAGTGCTTCTTTTAGAATTGCTTCATGGTACACCTATACGCGAAGAAGTGAAGAAATATCACATTAGCTCTGATTTGAGAGTAGGCTCGGGGATTCGCCTGTTTGATTACCTAGCAGAATGCGTCAGTGATTTCGTCATTTCACAGGGTCTTCAGGATGTAGAGCTTCCTCTTGGTAAATTGGAATCAATATACATCACGTTTGAGACATCGGGAGAATCACGTGTGAGGTTTTTAATTGCTCTGTCTGTGGTCCGTAGTTTCTCAGAAATAACTTTTTGTAATTCCAGGATAATTGCAATTGTTTCGAGTTCGAGCAAAAATTCTATCTGAGAGTGTCAATCTTGAATGTTTTCAAGCACTTATTGCTATCAGCTCTTAAGTATTGTGTCTTACATTGATTTTACGAATCTAAGTGGATGATACTTGTTGTCGATTAGATTATCCTGATCTCATACGTGATCAATAATTCTCCAAACGGGATGATTCATATACAACATGAATATATGCATCGAGTATACATTTGAGTATACGTTTCAGGATTTACGTTCTCCTTCCCGATAATTCAACATTCGTTGGATATTGGAGTACTGGTGACTTGGACTAAAACCTTCAATTGTCCCGACGTTGTTAACGAAGATGCCGTGAAATTGCTTCACGAAGCTTTGGATCGTCGAGGAGACACTAAAGTGAAAGTCGTAGCGATTCTGAACGACACTACAGGAACATTGGTGCAAGGATCAACGTTGGATCATAATACTGCAATTGGACTTATACTAGGCACCGGTAGCAATGCCTGTTATCTTGAACGAGCTGACAGAGTCGAACATTGGGAAACTGAGAGACACGGAGAACGCGAAGTACTTTTTTTAAATATTTTGTTTCGATATAGGGCAAACATTTGTCCTTGAATATTAAGTTGCTCATGGTTATTGCAGGTTATTATCGACATTGAATGGGGTGCATTTGGAGATAATGGTGTGCTGGACTTCATTAAAACAGATTACGATCGTGAAAATGATGCGAATTCGCTTATTGTAAATTCATTTACGTGAGTATCAATTCCCTTGAAAAATGTGGAACGTAGAAGCTCTACTTCTGGTAAATTTACTACACTACGATTTTTTAAATTATCAGATTCGAGAAGTATATTAGTGGAAAATACTTAGGCGAGATTGTGCGGGTAGTGCTGGCAAAGTTGACCAAAGAAGGCCTTCTATTTATAGGGGATCACACGCCCGGATCCCTTTTAGTCCCAGGCAATCTCACAAGCGATTTAGTATCTGATATCGAACAGTATGTTGTTTTCAATTAAAAAACTTTATAGCATATCTTTATTCTATAAATTTCCAATACTATACGTAAATATTAAAATGTAGAGATTCTGTGGACGGCGACGATTGCAGTACGAGGAACATTTTAATGAAGTTTGGTATCGATCCGGACGAAGAGGACGTGAAAATAGTACAATACGTTTGCGAAGTGGTATCTAATCGTGCAGCTCTTCTCGTTTCGATATGTAAGTTGAAGTATGTAATAGAACTAGTAATACTAAATAATATTACTTTGTTAACCAAATTTATTTCTTTAGGCCTAGCAGTCTTGTTAAAACGAATCGATAAGAAGAGCGTCACAATTGCTGTAGATGGATCTCTTTACAAACATCATCCTAGACTAGAGACATGGATAAAACGATACATTCCACTGTTAGCTCCTGAACATAAAGTATGCTTTCATAAAATATTTTTTATTGTTTTATTTTGGTCCGCGAAATTAATTGATTAATCGTGTATATATAGTTCGAGATGATCCATGCCGAGGACGGAAGCGGAAAGGGTGCTGCATTGATTGCTGCAATCGCACAAAGACTTCAGAAAAGATTAGATTAGTACTAGCTAAAAGTTTCAAGTTCGCTGGCGTATAAGTTTTTTGTTAGTGGCGTAAGTAATTTGCATCGGATCTCTAGTTAAACAAATTGTTCAGAGTATAGAATAATTTTAACAATCATGTACAGTCACATTCCCTATGTTAATAATGTCACCATTCACGTTTCTGATCTTCCACGTTCAAAGGTCTTATATATATTTTTGTTATACCTTTGAAGCGATAGTATATACAAATTATTGTACTGTTGTAATAGAAAGCATTCTGTTGTTACTCACTTTGTATCACAGAGTGATATTCGGAGGAAGAAGTTAGATTTATGCATTGTATATTTTTATCAGAAAAACATTTAGAAGGCACGTTACTCATAAAAGGAATGTAACGCCGTTTTATCACACGTCATCGAATGTTTGTGTACTTCGCTTAGAATTTACATTTTACAGCGTTTATGAGAACTACGTATCTTCCTGAATACTTATGTTTAAATACTTTATTTTTCTTACATTGTTCAAAATATTCGTGACGTTATTTGTTATTTGTTATTAATTGGGTTTCGTTTTATCATTGTTACGTAAGGTTAGTTCGATCTTACTTGTTGAAGATTTTTCTCGCAATTTAAAAAATGAAAATACGTGGTATGTGTGAGGTGTAATTGTGTACCGTGAAGAAAATGGTACACTCACGATTGATATTGCGAATATTTCTTGAGTATTGTGAGCAGTTTGTACTCCCATCTCAAGAATATGAGACAATTGTGATATGAACCACTGAACAAAGGTATTGGAACAAAGTGATAGGAGAGTTAAGTACAAAATAAGAAAAAAATCGCGTAAACATTCTAGAACACAAATGTTTGTATAAAATGTTATATCTTGTAAATGATTGCGGGAACGTCCGGTTTTTTGTACTAGCGGAACGAGATTGTTATAATAAATCCATAAATGAAAATCGAGCAATTGTACAGTTACTCTACCTCATTATAATTCTTCAGTTTTAAAAAGATATGGAACTTTGTACCTTTGAATCCTTGAACGTCAGGTATAAGTTTTAGAACAGTACTGGAAGTCAGTGCTGTGCTATATTGTAGCAGTTAATGATCAACGATTACAATTATTGATGACTACAATTATAAGTGGCTGATTATCAGTCACAATTAATGATTAAAGTTTACTTCATTCGAAGTACAGTTGGAATTACCGATCAGGATAAGTACATAATTATCAATTGCGACTCTCGAAGATTAAAAATTAATCAATCAATCGAATGAAATATTTTAATTGATCGTTATTCAACACCGTGGGAAGTACTCGATTAAAACAGCAATACAAAAAGTAAACGAAGTTCTACGGTCACTAATCTACCCTTAGTTAAATAATTAATTAGATCATTAATAGATACATTGGTTATTGCTCGACTTGCTGTAACTTAGTCTATTGATCTTGTTGCTAGGTGATCTGAGCGCGGTTCTTTCAAACGCATCAATGTCTAATGGCAGCGTCATCAGATGGCGGCACGTACGCGGTCGTCAAAAAGTGACAGCTCGAACTGTCAGCGGTATGCATACCGCCGCGTTTCTGCTGCAAATAAGCACTTTATAACTGATCGAAACGAGGGCTAAACCTTATCATCGAGCCTTCCGCTGTTTTAAAAGTCGAAACGGTTTACGAAAGAAGGATTAACGGTGTAAAACGTGAGACAGTGCGTGAAACGGTGGGTGAGCACGCAAAAGAGAACGGCTTGCCGGCTCGGCTAGTCTACTGGAAGATTCCATTGTGAGTGGGCTTTCAAAAAGTTTTATCTCTGAAAATCCAGTGTTTTCGTGCATTCCGTCGTTCGCCCGTAGATGAAACTCGAATGACAGGTATTTTAGCTTAATCTGTATTTAGAGGACTCGCGGACATTGAGGGTTAATCGTTTTTCATGCGATACAGCCTATTAGAAAGGTTGAGGTTACAGCGGCCGCTGGGTTCAGCTGGGCTCTCAGCTGATGAACGGACGCACCGACCGGTTCACCGTCTTTCTTTTAAAAACTGTAATTCCTTTCCTTCGCCTTCGTTTCACGTTCAAATTATGTGTAGCCATCGCGATAGCTCTTCGGGAGTCTCGTTTCGTGTAAATACGTGAAGTTTTCTTACGATACCGAGAGGTGCTCCGATCCCTATCTTGTAACCTCTTTCACCTTTAATTGTAACAGTCCGCGAGAGCCTTTTATTTCTTCCGATTGTTTCATCGATTTGAACTTTAATATATAGATTGTGAGTGAATTGGAAATCAGTTGTCAAATCGGTTAAATCGGTATATCTGATATACGTTCGTGACGAGTATCTTGTCAGTTCGATGTTATACATTATAAATGGAATTATATATTATGTTTCTGTACATTTTTTGTTCAAGTGTATATTAAGATCGAACGTGATGAACGACTTACGGCGCTTAGTAAACAGACACGTTAGTGGATCTTACGTTCGTTATACAAATTGTGAGTGAACTGAAAATTCTTAACTGTTTATATCATGGACATGTTTAGTTAAGGATAAAATCATACATGTTTCTATATATTTCTCTTAAGTGTAGATCAAAATCGAGAGTGATGGATAAAAGCTTTGTTAAACATAGTCGAATCGAATATCCGATTAATTAAGTAACGTGGATGATTTCGAATGATTTCGCGATTCGTTGAAGTCGAGATCTCTTGGATTTAAGGCGTGATCGATATCGATAAGAGCGTTTACACAAAGTATGTAAAGGGAAACGCGTTTTTCCATACAGTGGTAAAGACGAATGTCGTTGAACTGTCAGTCGGTCGGGGGTACTGTCGATCACCTGTAAAGTGACCGATGACCGTGTTTCCGCGGAATGTCGGCGGGTCACTCGATCGAAAGCAACTCGCCGATCTATCGATATGTGTGTATACGTACTGTTCAAAAGTAACAAATTTAATAACAAAAAAAAAAACAAAAACAAAAGAAAAAAAAAAGAAAAAAATTGAGAGAAAGAAGAAAGTGGAGAAACACGAATGTGTAATAGTATTTTCGTGTGTGTGAAAGATACAAAAGGTCGTTAAATCACGGATGAAAAGTACGCGCGGTATGACACCGTTATTGCTTGCAAATTGACTCGGTTTTCCGTGAAGCTCCGTCGAGGTCACCGCGCCCGGCTGCAGCTGAGCTCCCAGCTGACGAATGGAGGCTGCGACCGGTTCGCCATGTTCCTTCGTTGTTTTTTTTAAAGGCCACCTCCTTCTTTTTCCCTTTAAATCGCCTTTCACGTGCTCCGCGACCCTCCGTGCCTGTTTCTCTTTTTCCCTCTTCCTCCTCCTTCTCCTTCTCCTCCTGTGTATAACACCACCACCTCCTCTCGGCCGCTTCTTCTGCACCGTTTCCTCCTAGAAAATCGTATTGTTCGTAGTGTACGCCGTGCGCACCCGAGAACGCTCGACTTCGCCGAACCAGTTCCGAACCTTTTCTTTTATGTGTTTCTTCTTCGCGGCACGTTCAACACCGTGCGCGCTCTTCTCCGAGTCAACTACACTCTACTAGTCGGTCTCTCTGTGTCTCAAGGTGACACGTCACGGTGCAACGCGCGCGATATTTCGAGGGTGTAACGTGTTACTTCGGAAATTAGTCGGATTTCGAGGGACAGTGTCGCTACGCGGTATATAGCGATACGGTCAGCCGATGTTGTTCACGAGAATCAACTCAATTCGGGGAATTCAATGTTATTCAGAGGTCGACGTTAGTCACTTGACAATAGTGATTCATTACTCGTTTCTGAAATAATAATGAGTAGGTAGTGTTATTTATGTATCTTTATATCGGTTTAAATTTCGTTTGAGCCGTGTATCGAAAGTTACAAGTTGCTTTCCTATTATGTGACATTACCGATGGTAATAGCACGTTAAATGACTGGATTTTACTTCGTTAAGTGATTGCTATCCTCATCGGTTCTTGGAATCGACTTCGAGAAGTGTACCTCTTATGTCACGTATGTAAAATAAACAAATGTGTCAGGTATCTATAGTTCACCTCCGTTTGACGAAGGATAGAAGGATAGTCAGGATTCCCTAGAAATTTACCTGTTTCGATAATTGGCCAGATAAGGTCGTGACCCGTGGCAAGTTAGCGAAGTAGTACCGTACCATGGTCACGATGAATTATTCGTGAAGAAAGTTTCACGCAAGCTCGATACCGGAACTGTTTAGAATAGAATACAGTGAAAAAAGAAAAACAAGAGGAGGTAAAAAAGGAGAAAAAAAGTTCCTCGTTTGCAACTTACAAATGTTCACTTGCGTTTAGCATGCAAGCATATAGAAGGCTATAATTTATCGGTCGGCGAGCGTGGACCTTCCTTGCATATAATATGCATCGCTATTTAAAAGCAATCGGGTCTCGCGTGCTCGGTACGCAGCGTGAGTCACCTGGCTACGGGCTTGCTATTTCTTATTGTGCACGATTGGCTAATGAAGCAAGAGCGACACGCGGTTGTTACCGCTTTTCATTTTCTTTTTTTTTTTTTTTATCGACGAATCCCTGTCCCGTTGTAATAAAATTCATGTTTATACAGCGTGGCGGGGTTGCGCAGATCGCACCGACATGGCATCGCGTTTATCGTTTTAAACCGATTGTACGACGAGCCGGTTAATTGCAAACGTTGTAGTACGTCCGATAATACGGAACCCGTAGAACAATGCGACGATAATTGGTGGTAAACTGTAATGTAATTACACGAAGCTGCTGCACACCGCTCAAAATAATTAAAGGATCACCTGCTCAAATAGTGTCCAATAATGAATATACGTAATTCATTTAACCCTGTCATATTTAATTCGTTCCGTAGGGTATTCCGTTTCTTTTTTCCGAATAAATTTATTCTGGGATAGAAATATAAATAAGGAAACAATTTTATTACACTGTTAAATATGGGTAATTTAAAGCTTTACTAAAAGACAATAAGAGACTATTGCCAGGATCCTAGATAATTGTAATGTTTATGTTGATCGTTGTTTACGTTCGTGATTGCATTGTTACGTTCGTGAAAGTATCGAGAACTACGAACGGCGGAAATGCGATTTGTCGTGTTCCCGTCGCTTCTAGCGCTACCGGTACACTATTCTTTTGGAAATAGTGCTTTCGGTGTATAATGGATATTTGTCGAAATTCAATCGATCGAATTCATCGATTCGACGCGGATAGTCACGCTGCCGGTATTTAGTAACGCAGGAAATCGTGGAAAAAAGTGGGCTGCAGAGAACGGGATTGAATTGTTCTCTGGGCTGAACGCTGGTCTGAAACAATACGCTCGTCCAGGAGAGTCGATTGCATTTTATTCACGAGGGACCTATTCGCGACAAAGTTTTTGTCGAACGCAATCGCCTTTATTTCTATCTTCATCTCGCGGAGGATTGATACAGACGCATACACAGGATGATTGCAAGTTTCCCTATCTCTTAGCGAATAGAAACCGAATCGACGAATTCTATTTATGTCGATCAGAGAATTATATTCCAATCGAATTAAGTTGGACCAATTCAAATTAGCTAGTAAAATTAAAAATGGGAGTCAGAAGAATCAGTGGAATTTTTCATCGATTAACACAACAGATTCATCCTACCACAGACTTTTAGGCTTCATAGTTTTCCCATCGGTTAAACTCTAATCCATTAGTTCTATTATAATAAATCAAGACCTCGATGGAAAGATAGTGTAAGTGTACCTTTGCAAAAATAAGATAAACACAAAAAGTGATACATAATATCCTCATTCATCTAGTGAATTTTGTTACGAATTTACAAATCTTTACGATCGGATATAGCAACATATTTGAACGTTTCGAAACATACAGATTTAACTTTACATTCGGTTTTCTCAGAGTTAAAGATCTTATCATCGATCGTGAATCGATTTTAGCTCCGATTTTAACGTTTGATGAAAGTTCAGGTTCATCGGAGACTCGCTATCGATCGCGTTATCAGTTATCAAGTTCTCGGACTCACGCAGCGATATCGATTGCGCTTTTCGAATCGTGAAACGCGATTATTCAATCTCAAATGACACACTATTGCGCGAACGTCTCTTGTGCGCCTCGCTGTCTGCCGTAGTAACCCCAGTGTTTCTCAATTGGAGGGGACGTTCACATTGGCAAGTTCCTCGGTGGTAAATTATTACGGCCCACTCGAGCCTTTGGGCTTCCACCATCCTCCATATACATAGTTGAGATTCGATATCACATCGGCAACGAGATTGATTTACGCTGGTGACCATAGGTAGGTAGCTTCGGGACCACTTTCATTTATCCTTCGATCGGATCGTCAGCCTTCGGTTATTTGTGAATACTTTTTTATACAACGATATTGAATTTATTTATTTATCTAATGAGTCGAAGCTTTCGAGTACCTAAACCTTCAGCGTACGTGAAACTTAGAAATATAGACAAAAAAGGATACTGCCTGGAGATAGCATTGGAACTGAAAATCAACTCGTATTTTATAATTTATTTACTCACATTTAGTAATAAAATTACGGTATAATATAATATTACGGTTAATAAAATTAAATTAACTGCCAGAAATCTTGTGACTTATTGAAAAAAGTATGATATCCTAAACTAGGCAAAAATGTAAATAAATTACAATACTATACAATTTCGGGACTTATAGTACGATGAAATTACATAAGGTTCAAAGTAGAAGCATCGCGACAAGATAACGAGGCTAAGAATCTGTGGATTTTATAAAAGATCTAGCGTACGAATCAATCAAATGGAATTCGCTCGATCGATATCGTGCAAGTATGTTTCTTTTCATTGACTCGTATCTAGAGTCAGACCCGTTAGGTTTGCTTAAGCAAATCACGGTCCCTTTATACGGTCCCCGGTGGCTCGTCGATACGCGCGTTAAAGTCATGTCAAGTGGAGATCGGGTCTACACTCGCTCGGTTATAGGAGTCAGGCTTCGAGGTACTTGGATTTTCGAAAATAAAATTTACGGTCGTTGAACTTGATCAACGAACAGGTATAACAGTGTTACGTTAGCCGACTAGTATTTTGCTTCGTTAACTGCCCGTTTATATCCCCATCGCTTCTTGGAACTAACTATTAGCATTACGTATGTATAAGGTATATTACCATTCTTGTAAATAGCAAAAAATAGCAAACAAAGATCGTATCCTTAATTAATGAAATTTGTTGAAGCAATTACTGTTTCTCGCGTTTAATACTCTCTATGATATAACTGCAAAATTGAAATAGATACGCGATACTTGTTATCCTTCTACGCATTTCTTAAAGTAAAACAGTTTTGTTCGACAGGTGGCTTATGAAATTTATATGACAGTACTGTGTGTAAAATAGATGGTCGTAAATGCGTCAGGTTTTCCTATCTACCTAGAATTACATCTTCTACAATTGACCGGATAAAATTCTCGTAATACTGATGATCAGTTAACGCGGCATGACCGTAGAACATTGACAATGCATACGGCAGGATATCGCGATGGTTGAGCCGATTATTTTCGCTTGAAATACGAATAACACGCCCGTTCCATTCGAATTCGTTTCGTTCGAGTTGCCTGGAAAGACTATTTTTCGCTAGTCGGGAGCTCGGTTTGCTCGTCGTTTCCGATTCCTGTCTCATCCGCCCCTTGGAAATTTCGTTCCGTTCGAACGACGATCGGTCTCGCGTCTTTGAACGCGAAAACGCGTTCCGTTCGGTGCTTCGGAAAGTCGAAGGACCTTCGCCGGTCGTTCGGGTCATTTCATTCTCTCCCCTCTCTTGCTGCAAACACGTGGATACGAATTACAGCGGGGTCTCGATTGACTGGCTTAATCGGGACCGAGGTAGCCCGGTTAAATCGAGGCTCGCGAAATTACCTAACTCAGGCCTAGGGTGGATTAAAAATTGTTATCTGATACGCGTCCCTTTATCGTCGTGCGTTCAACTTTTTTATTTGTTCCAGTTTATATTACTTAACGCGTGGGCTGCGACAGGAATTCTTTTTTAATTACAGGGCCTTGTTTTATACATAGAACGGACGCACAACAGCGTTTATGTAATTTAAATGTTTCATCATACAGCGTCTCTGGTAAACCCAATATCGATCACGAATAACGATTACTCATGACGGTCAACATGTTACGCAAAAATAAAAAAAGAAATAAGGAAGAAAAATGTTATCGGTTACTTGAAAAATTGCATCGTCATGTGCGTTTTATTACCGTGTAAAAAAGGCCGACCTTGAGATGACATCGGTGACTTCATCCGAAAAACGACCATCACTTTGTCATTTACCGTATAAGTATAATTGGGTAACGATGATGTTCTTGGATAACGATGCCGAGATTTAAATTAGTAGGAACGACGAGGCAAAGAGAGAATCGAGCGGCGCGTACCTTTTCCAAAACGCGCACATCTTTTTAATCACGCGTTCTCTACGTATGCGCGTGGAAAGGTCGTTAAAAGAAACGCTGTTCGCTCGTTGTTTCTCGTTTTAACGAGCAAAAAACGGAAAAAAAGAGAGAGGAAAACTAGGAAAGATCGCGCGAGCCTTGACATTGACGTTTTTCCATATTTTTTTTGTTTACTCTGCCTCGTCATAATGAGTTTACAATTGTAGCCAATTGAACTGGTTGATGGCAGAGAGGAGCGGCCGTAATAAATGTTAACTCTTTGTTTGCTTTAAAATTAGACTCGCTTTAAATCGCATGCTCGCAAGGTAGAAATTTTCGGAGGCTGTCGGCGTGTCCGAACTGCCGGCGCCATTAAACGATTTCCGGGGTACCTCCGATGTT